GCACTGTGAAGAAAAATGAAAAGCCTGCTCGGTTCCCTCCTTGCTCCTGATTTCTTCCTGGCTGTGCTGTTGGCTCTCTGATACTCACCTTCGTGTGTTGCACATGTGGTTTTGTGTTCCCCCATCTCTGTCTCCAGATACCTTCTTTCTCTGCTCTGGAATCTGTCCTGAAGCTTCTTCCTGCCTAGTTGTCCTTCTCAGTAAGTCCCTCTTGCTCTGCATCTTCAATTTTTGTTTTTTATTCATTCATCTCACGGCTATGCGTTTCCATCGGGTAAAATAAGGTGTACATCTACAGCATGGCCACTGGAAGCACAAAGAGGTCCACCTCCCTGTCTCTTTGGGCTAAGGTACTTCCCACGTATGTGTGCATGTGGTCAGTTAGTTGTGGGAGAGAAGTTAACCAGCATCTTCAGCCTGGCTTGGCTTGTGGTCGCTTGTAACCGTGTCGTGAGGTTGTAGCTTTTCAGAAGAGAGAGTGAGTTTCATCCTGTGCTGCTGAAGGGCTGGGAGTTTGTCTTGCTGGTGTGTACACTGGTATGTTATTGTAGTATATTAAGGCTTTGCACTGAGCAAAGTGACAGAGGCATTTCACTATTTAATTGCATTGTTCCAGTTTGTACTTTGTGTCCTGTTAAAATGCTTCATGATTTTTCAACTGAAAAGCATATTTACAATGTTGATATGAGAAAAGGTGAGTAATATAGCACATAAAATACCAGTGTTGTCTGTGGCTTAGCAATTAACTGTATTTGGAACCTCACATGAATCTGGCAGACTTATAAACCTGTCTCTATCTATTAGGCGTGTGAGGTGAGGTGAGTTATACATCCAGCTTCCAATATGTTAAATAAGCCAGTTTGGGGGCTTCTTAGCACCAACACATGCACACCAAGTATATAAGAGTGCATGGTACTGGGAAAACATAGGGGAGCACTGGGTTTATAATGCTGCATTTAGTTTCATATGTACGTGAGGTTCTGTGGGATGAGGCTTTATTGTGCTGATGTCACTTATATAGAAAAAAAGTTGGAAATGGGTCAATTCAAGTTTTTTAAAAACCCTTTATGTCATATTCAATCTCCTTAGGGGTTCCTAACTGCTATGAAGCAAGAGACAACTCGTATGAATTTAGCGAAAGGGTGGGCGCTCGATAGTGTTGTTTTACACAATGAAGTGACCAAGATGATGAAAGAAGATGTTACTGGCCCTCCCCCTGCTGACATCGGTGGGGTTTACATATATGGCCTTTTCCTGGAAGGGGCAGGTTGGGACCGCAGAAGCAGTAAGCTGGTCGAGTCGGCACCAAAGGTAAGGACATAACTGACTGTGTCACAATATGGTGTGCTCAGAGAACACCAGGATGTATTTTGAGTGTCTGCAGCAGTGGTGTCAAAACAGATTTTCAGAGGGAAAAACACCAGCAGGGCTGGGAAGAGGACAGGGGGTGAGTCCACCTGAACTGGATGCATTTATCTATGCAAGGAATTACGTTTTATTGATGTGACTCAGCAGATGTAGAACCTCTCTCTGGAGCAGTGATTAGATGCTGTGCTCACTGCCCAGGGAAAGCTGCCATTGCTGTTTTGCAAACTAGTGATAACTGTCCTGGAACTGGAGTTGAGGTAATTCCTCTCCATAGGTAAAACACTTCTATATCTGGCTAAGAGCAAACTTTTCCAAACCAAACCTTGCCAGCTGTAGCTTCTGGTGACAGCTGTTGCTTGGTTTGTCAAAAGACACCTTCAAAAATGGAGTTTACTCAAGTGCTCTGGAGTGTTCAGCAAGCCTCCGTGTTGCTCTTGGATTCAGGTCTTTTTTTCCCAATGAATACTGCTGGAAGACCTGAGGGAACCTAGTCTGGATAAACACTCAAGAGGCACCTTGGATCTTTGAAGCTCGTCTGCCAGCAGTGCAGAGCTAACAGGGAGGCTTGCTAAATGCAGCTTGGCCTTTGCAGCTCCAGTGCTTCCATTCAGGGAACAGGAGCTGGGGAAAAAATGGGGAACACTTGCCACAGGGGCAAAGGATGGGAAAAATGGTCTCTCTTCCTCCTAGAACTACCCTGTTGTTTTTCCATCTACTCCACTGGCATACAGTTTTTGAGGTTTCTGCTGCTTTCTTTTTCTTCCAGGCTCACTGAGCTGACTTTGGTTTAAAGTTAGGGTCAATGTAGTAGTGACCACAGGTTCTCAGGTGTACCTCTGCTGAGGTGCTTGGGCTTTTGGCCATCAGTGAATGTAGTTCTAGCATTTGGAGTTCAGACACCCTGTCCTGCTTCTCTAATGCTGAGCCCCGTGTCTGTTTTTACCATTGTCAGGTCCTGTTCACAAGTCTCCCTGTGGTCCATGTGTACGCTGTTAGCACAACAGCACTACATGACCCGAAGAAGCAACAAGGAAGTGTGTACTCCTGCCCTGTCTACAAACAGCCTCGGAGAACAGACCTGACCTACATTTTCTCCTTGGATCTGAAAACGGTGCAGAATCCTGACCATTGGACTTTACGGGGGGTTGCGCTTCTCTGCAATTCGAAGTAAGGACTGAGAGATAGCTATAAAGAGAGAACCACCTGGGAAGATTAGTCTGCAGCCATTAGGACTTCTCTTGGTATTGACAAAGTGGTGGCTAGTTTCTCATAGGGGTATGGGACTTAATAAGTGACGTATAGAGATTGTGCTAATTACACATAGACCAGCTGACTCTGTTCACAGCAAAAATGCCAAATGTATTTAACCTGGGAATATCAGAGGGAAAAGAGTTGCCAGATGTAAAATTTGGCAACCATTATAAAATAAGTGAGAACATAATTAACCAGCTTGCTCTTAATGGAAACACTAGGGCACAAGTGCTTATGATAGTGACAACTGCTCTAACATTTATGGTGGTTCTTTTGTAGATGTTATCTTTTCTTCCTAATACAAGGTTTCTTCATGATATGATATAATTCTTTTTAAATTCATCTTTGTAGTTAAAAACTAATCATCCGTAGCATTATTACAGCTGTAATGACAAGTCAATTAAACATACGGTAAAACTTTATGTTTATCTGCATATATTCCAATGCACAGTTCCCTCAGTTTTGCATTTGTAAACTTACTGGGTAGTTTTACAAATGGGTGCTACCATTTCCTTGAGTAGTCACTTGATTGTGCAAATGACCATGGAAGTTGTACAAACAGGTGAGTTTATCTTTGCCCAAGTAGTGGCCTCTGCACATATTAACTCATGTCGAAACCCATATCCCATTATAAGGAAGATGTGCATGCTCCCCCCTCCCCATTATTAGTGAGAAAAAGGTTTTATTCCATATTTTGCATCAGTTCAGCTAAAAAAAAAAGTAAAAGACACACAGGCTATTTCTAGGAGTAAATTCACCTGAAGTGGTTGAAGTCATTTTTGTGTGTTACCACCATTGCTGCCTACCCTGTAATTGAAGGGCGATTGCTACTTCTCTTTTAATAGACAGACAGCTATTGGCTTTTTTCACTAGCACAAATTCAAAGGAAAAGAAATTGCTGTTGGATGTTATGAAGGAAGGACTTGCAGTGAATGCTTTTTTAATCACTTTTTTTTTCCCCTTGTAAACACTTTCAATTTTTGTATAAACACTTCCATTTCTTTTCAGCTGGCATCTAAGAAAGTAGTTCATCTTTTCCCATCACCAGTTTTACTCTGCAGTGAGCAATTGCTTGGCTCTTCCCGCGAGGAAGCTTTGATATTCACACTCCCACACACAAGGAAGCAGAAAGTGCCAGATTTCTTCTTGGGAAACAGAGCAGTCAGGGACAGGGTCCCTTCCTCCCGCTGAGCCGGGAGCGGGCTTGTTTCGCACACAGCGCTGGTGAGATTTATTTTACCAAGTGACACCAGCTGTTCAGAAAAGATCCCCCAAAACTCCCTGCACTCCCTGTAGCTGTACGTCAGCCGGTTTCATTGAGAATTTTGTTTCCAAGAGGGTGAAGTATTGGGCTTCAAGATCCTTGCTCTTGGAAATTATGAGAAAGGGAGGCTTCAAGCAGCAAAAAGCTGTGCTGTTGTACAGGAATTGAGCTGTAAACCACAGTGTTCTCCCCATCCCCTGCCTGTGTGAGGGGATATGGAGTAAATTAACTTTGATCTCTTGGTACATGTGAAATTCAAGTCAGTAACACTGATAATCACTTAAAATGAAGAGCGTACATTGAAATGCTTTGCACACCTGAAAAGCTCACTACTTGCTATGAAAACAAATCATCCTATGAACAACTGAAGTTAGAAGTAAACATTAAAAAATACATATTTGATAGAGGTTATATGCGGTGCTACGTGATAAGCTCCATGGAAACTGCATCACTTCCTTTCTTTGTCAAGTAAAATGAGAAAATTAAATGCTATATAAAGAAAATCTATAGGCAATTATGTTCCAGCACTTAGTGTTCTCCTGTATAAAAAGGCAAAGAATAGCTTCTTTGAACTTTGACATTTTCATTTCCATAACTAAACCCTGTTTGTCAGTTTAGGAAAATATCAAGCCTTGCGGAACAGAATGCAGCCCATTTAGAGAAGAACCAGACAAATCATACAGTGTTTGACTGAAGGTAGCTACAGTTTTATACAGAACTGGAAGAAGAACACAGAGTTGCCTGGTTCCAGAAAACATTTCCTATAGCTAGGAAAAAACCAATCAACCAAAACCTCCACTCTATCCTATAAGCAACCCCACCTTTTTAATTAATTTATTTATTTTTTTGCATGTAATTGTGTTACAGTGGAGATGTGCAATTTACTGTTGAAAAGAACTGTCTTCCTCTCCCTGTCTCCCTCCCTTGCCCTGTCGTGCCCTTCCATTCAGTGGAGTTGCTGCTTCCAAGCTGACAACGTTAATTTGATTTGAAATGCCATTGACAGAGTATAACATTGACCTTCCCCAGGCAGTGTTCCCTAGTTACTATTGCTAAAGCTGTTTCACTTCAAATGTGATGCTCAGCAGACTAAATGAAAGAACTGGCAAGCAGAATATTTGAAATCAAACTAGTTATATTTAAATTATAGATTAACAATTAACCGGGAGTCCTCAAACAATGTATATAGATAATGAAGTTACGCTCTGCTGTTCAAATGAATCTGAGATATTAAATACAATCATACAGCTTTTGGCAATTATTGTACAAGTTTCACACAGATAGTAATGACTAACATTGCTTTAGATACGTGCTTTGAAGGCAACTCTGTTTAAGAATGAAGAGAGCAAAGAGAGTCCTGCACCCCTTGTCAGCCCCGTGGCCGTGTTTACAAACATATCCCATGGCAGGGCGCTGGCTCCCAGCGTTGGGAATGAGCAGCATTCCATACTCCAAAGGGTGGCTGGCTCCTAATCCCTGAGGCTGTGGCTGGTCATCGTAGGAAACAAAGAACTGGGTTAGGGATTGGCCCTCTACTTCAGCAGCTTTGTAGAAGAGATTTAATTGCAGTGAAGCTCAGAAAAATCACAAAGAATGGAAAACAAACCAATTCCCTTGTCTGGTCAGTTATGTTCATGAGCCCTGTGATCCTCTGGATAGAGTAGCAAATCTTTAAAAGACCTCATGGAAGCTTCAGTTACAATATCTTAAATGTTTTTTTCTCTATCCAGAACCCATGCATTAATCTTATTCCTCTCTTACTTCATACCCTGCCTTTCTCATAATCCCATCTTTCCACAAAATGAAGGTGATACCTCATTCTCTTTTCCTCCTGCTATTCCATACTTAATGTGTCTTCTGCTTTTTTATTCTTACTCCAGAAGTGCAGAAAATGCATTGCTTACATACATCAAACCTTCCTCTTCCAGAACTCTGGAAATAATCTTTAGTCATTTCAGGAGCTTCATTTTCCACTGAGCAGAAACGCAATTTACTCGAAACCCTGTGATTCCTGCCACATTTTGTCACACCCTGGATAAAGCAGGAATTTCCTCCTCCTGCGCTTTCAGTGAGGGCCCATAAACAAGAAGATTTGTATAGCTGCATGGACATTTTTCATAGTTCTTCCTTTTGCTAAGATGAAGTAATAGCTTTGTTATTGTTTTCCGATTAGAGGAGTTGGTGTAAGATAATGGAAATAAGTTTCATACCTTACCTAAAACTAAAGAGAGTGATTAGGCTGCTGACTGCTAAATCAGTCTTGAACACACAGCAGATTTCCCTGTGCCTCTGTGAGTCCCAGCTGGGCTATAGACGCAGGGGGAGCCCCTTCATTCAGTTTGCATGGCTTGGCTGTCGTCAGGAAGACAACGCTACAGACACCCGTGTAAATGAGAGAACACCAACACGTTTGGGGATATAACACAAACTCACACATTTTTCTAAAGCTGAGTGAATACATACTGTGTCATCTCTTGTTCAATAAGGACAGCATGGTGTGTTTGCTACTCCATCCCTTATGCTGATTGCTTTAAGTCTAGCAAAGGGACATCATCACCTCCTCCTCCTCCTTCTTTTCCTTCCTGCTTAAGAACAGCTTCTGGGATTGTCACTCCTTTTTCAGCTGACTGGGAAGCACCTTTTGTTGCACTGTTCTTGTCTTTCTTTACCTTAGTGATCACTTCTGTGTAGGAGATTTCTTCAGTGAAGGGCTCTGCTGCTGCGAGCTCGGAGGCGATGTGTGCCCCGGCTCCCTGGATCCCCTCCTCGCCTTCGGCTCCTGTTCGCTCTTTACTTTTTTTATGGATCTTGAACGTCTCCTTTGTCGGGGCAGCTTGGGAAATGCTTTTCCTGATCCTCATCCCCGATTGTTTCAGTCTCTCTCCTGACTGCCTGATCCTCTCTCTCCTCTCGGGGGTCACTATTCTGGTTCGAAGCCTGGTTACCTTATTGCCAAAATTCTGTCTCGTCTTTTGGATATTTTCCCTCGAAAATGCCTTTTTGATATCATCTATGCGCCTCATGCCTGATTTCTTGAACTGGGTTGCTTTGCTTTCCTCGATGTAATACTCTTCATCAGAGGACAGGTCATCAGGTGGGAAGAAATCATCCTCCAGAGTTTCAGCTGCCGTCCTCTCTTTGATAACAGAGAGAGATGAAGGACACTCGCTTTCCTCCTGTGAATGAAAGCACAGAGTCATCCTCCAGGAAGCACGTTTTAAAGGAATGGTGAGTCGAGCATTTTGTTTGTTGGCTTGTAGTTAATGAGTGCTAACTGAAACACAATCGTGTAACAAAGTAAAGTAGTTTGTACCACTGTATGTGATCTACACAGAGCACAAATGGCAGAAGAAACCTTTGCCAAGTTCTGTAAAGACATCGTACCTGCTTAAAAACTTCTTGTCAGTGCAGTTCTACCTGCAACTAACGAATGCCATGGTGCTGTGTTTACTGGCCCCTAATGATTTTCAGAGCAGATTGATCTGGTTCATGGGGTTTTCTTGAAGCCGATCTGCTTCTCAGAGGTTGGGCCTAGATCTGTTATTCCTCACCGAGTAGACATCTTATAGACAAACTAGGCTCCTGTGCTTGTGCTAGCTGTATGCTCTTCCAAATGAGGGCCTCAATGACACCAGCAGCTTCAGCCTTTTACTGTTACTGAGACAACTGCACATTATTGACTAATTGGAACTTAGCAAACAATTCTGTTGCTGCCCCGAAGGGGATGAACCCCAACATACTAATTTATATGTGCTGGCTTCATAAGGGGACAAAGTCACTAAAGGAATGAGCTGTTACTCGCTAAATCCAGTCCCATACAGTTCACCCAGCACCTGGACCATTGCTGAGATGAACCTGACTTGCTCCTTCTGGAAAAATACGAATGAGCCAGAGCAAACACCTCTATCTCCTGTGGTGACTTTGGTGACCTGTATGGGCACGCACTATTAGATATTTATATTATACATATGATACATATGAGCTGCATGCTTGGAAGTGGTGACCGTTTTAGGTATCCTAGCACTAGGAATTTATGTAGCCCCTCCAGAGAAAGACTGCTAGAGGCTCAAAATTCAAAGACACACAGAAGTCTTTCAAAAGCTGTCCACAGTAAGTAATTGACCAAGAATCACTTAGTGGTTAAGGACATGCAAAAAAAGGAAAAAAAAGCTTATGGTAATGGCAGTATTCGGCAGTATCTGAATGGGGAGAAGCTCCTAAGAGAGGTGATCTCCTGATCTAAGACTGCTGTCTGCATGGACATTACAAATTTGTGGCTTGGTGTCACCGAGTCACTTCTGTCTAGAAGGACTAGTGGAAGAAGAGTAGAAACACCATAACTTGTAGGAGGTGCATGAGACAGAGAACACCAGCCCCTTCTTTCCTACTGACTATTTACGTGCACGTGCGTGTGCTCTTCTCCCAGGAGGGGCAGCCCTGTAGGGTGCAGACAGGTACAACAGGGGGATAAAACTCCTCTAAGCTGTTTCCCATTAGTACTAACGAATGCCATGGTGCTGTGTTTACTGGCCCCTAATGATTTTCAGAGCAGATTGATCTGGTTCATGGGGTTTTCTTGAAGCTGATCTGCTTCTCAGAGGTTGGGCCTAGATCTGTTATTCCTCACCGAGTAGACATCTTATAGACAAACTAGGCTCCTGTGCTTGTGCTAGCTGTATGCTCTTCCAAATGAGGGCCTCAATGACACCAGCAGCTTCAGCCTTTTACTGTTACTGAGACAACTGCACATTATTGACTAATTGGAACTTAGCAAACAATTCTGTTGCTGCCCCGAAGGGGATGAACCCCAACATACTAATTTATATGTGCTGGCTTCATAAGGGGACAAAGTCACTAAAGGAATGAGCTGTTACTCGCTAAATCCAGTCCCATACAGTTCACCCAGCACCTGGACCATTGCTGAGATGAACCTGACTTGCTCCTTCTGGAAAAATACGAATGAGCCAGAGCAAACACCTCTATCTCCTGTGGTGACTTTGGTGACCTGTATGGGCACGCACTATTAGATATTTATATTATACATATGATACATATGAGCTGCATGCTTGGAAGTGGTGACCGTTTTAGGTATCCTAGCACTAGGAATTTATGTAGCCCCTCCAGAGAAAGACTGCTAGAGGCTCAAAATTCAAAGACACACAGAAGTCTTTCAAAAGCTGTCCACAGTAAGTAATTGACCAAGAATCACTTAGTGGTTAAGGACATGCAAAAAAAGGAAAAAAAAGCTTATGGTAATGGCAGTATTCGGCAGTATCTGAATGGGGAGAAGCTCCTAAGAGAGGTGATCTCCTGATCTAAGACTGCTGTCTGCATGGACATTACAAATTTGTGGCTTGGTGTCACCGAGTCACTTCTGTCTAGAAGGACTAGTGGAAGAAGAGTAGAAACACCATAACTTGTAGGAGGTGCATGAGACAGAGAACACCAGCCCCTTCTTTCCTACTGACTATTTACGTGCACGTGCGTGTGCTCTTCTCCCAGGAGGGGCAGCCCTGTAGGGTGCAGACAGGTACAACAGGGGGATAAAACTCCTCTAAGCTGTTTCCCATTAGTGCCAACTACTTCAGCTGATTTCTGAGGCGTGGCAGCGTCTGGGCTCTGTCCTTAGAGTTATTACCTTAATGCAGAAAATAGGAGAGATATTAGAAGTTGTGAACCTGTGAAGAATGGGTCAGTCTTACTGAATATTTTGCTGTGAGCTGATTTCTGGCCAAAAAGATGTCCATCACTTTTCACAGTAACTCATTAGTAGCAAATCATGGTTAATGTTGTTTTACAGAGTACTAGCAATATATAAAATAAAATACATTAAGCTATTTGGCAGATAAAGCTCACATAAGAGTCTGTCATCATGTCTTGGCTTCATTAAAAACCCTCTAGTAAAATAGTTGTTAATGCTTAGAAAAAATAGGGATGAGTTATGTTGCATTGATTACAGCAGAATGTTATTCAACTCATCTGTCAAAATCAGCAGGAACAAAACTACAATGCTTTGCTAATAATCATCTTCATTAACATGTGCAAATTAACATTAATTATATAAAGGCTTCTATATATAAACATAATCCCTTCTTTTCTGAAGATGAACTAAAACACAGCTGGATAATAACTCCTCAAAGTTTGTAAATTATAGCCCACTCCTTCAGCTGAAATGGTAACACAAATGTTTCCAGAATGACTAGCCTGAAATTTCAGCACACACAGAACTGGATACAATGTGGTGAATAGGGCTTGCTGGTCACGTGAACATTACTTTTTAAAAAGAAAGAAGGCAGAGAGACTATTTTCTCTGCAATATTTAAGCTGTCTTCCTTTGGAAGAAGAACAAACTTTTCTCTAATTTTTGTCAATTATTTGCCAGATTTTTTATTGTATTTAGCTTTATAGTTTATTATCTAGAGGAGAGCTTTAACTTTCATACACATGCGTTACCATGACCACTTATGAACAATAACGTGTGAGATGAAGGCCTTGTAGACAAGACACAGGAGCTAGAGCTGGAGGTCCTGAGACCATTTTTCATTCTGCTGTAGACTCTGGGAATGATCTTTGCTGAATTTCTGATTTTCTCTTTTTTCCTTGGTTTCTGCACACATCTTGCAGAGTCAAATGTAGCAAGGCTAAAAATTAGTGTTTCCCTCTGCTCTCAAGATTTCTGGATGGAAGGTGTTACCAAAATGGAAAGTATTAGTGAAACTGGCTGGCACATTAGTGGGGGGTTCGTAATAACAGCACAGTGATTTAGGCTCAGTAGGAGAGCTTTCTCATCTGCTTCCTTTCTCTCTCCTCCCCTCCTCATTTCTTCTTATCACTAGATGTCAGTGGTGTGGAGAGAAGGCAGGAGCTCAGCCTTCCTAAAGAAGGAGCGACAAGTTTTAGCACCAGATGGGAAATTGATGGGGTCGAAGCATACAGCTACCAGCTCACTTATGGACTCACTAAAAGCAAAGACAAAACACCTGCTGATTTCAGTGTCACAGGACAAAGCCCTCAAGTGAGTGACAGCTTTATTCTTGGCTTGAAAGCAGATGGGACTGGAAATAGCAGGACTGGGAAGCCCGGTCTTCTAGGAGGGTGAGACGGTGTGGAACAATTAGTGGTGCTACTTGTGAGCTTTTAGTTAAAATTCTACTTAAGTATTTTGCTAGGAAGGACTCTTATCTGCCACCACCACCTCACAGGAGGTCGGGGAGGATCTTTAAGCTAAATTTCCTCACGGAAGGGATCACAGCGGTGGCATTTTTCTCCCACAGCACATGGGAAGGTGTTTGCGAAGGAAGGCTAATGCATCTGCTCCTTGAACTATGCAAAGTGCAAGGTGCAGGCTCTTTTTCATCTCACAGAAGCCTTAAAAACAGTAGGTGAATAATCTTCAGTGCGGCGATGCCCCGAGTCAGTGTCAGGAGGCTCTTGAGGTGGTGATGCTCAGATAATTGAAAATTACAGGGGAAAAGAGACTGTCTCAAACTGTTCCTCCCCGGTAACCCTGCCTGCACCGCCAGGCTCTTCCCATCTCCGGGCAGGGGAGGAAGGGGAAGAGCAGAGCAAATTGTGTAGTGATGTCTCAGGTGGTGAGGTGCTGCAGGGGTGTCCTGGCAAAGATCAGGTGGGCTCTAATGGCACCTTCCTCTCCAAGTGCCCCACTAAGGAGCAAATAAGGCAGAGGGGCTGCTGGAAGAGGGATGCTGTGCCTTCAGCAAGGTCAGGGGGCAGGTAAAATTCCCTCACGGACTCATCAGCTAAATCTCCACTCTTTCATCTTTGTAAGCACAAACAGGATCAATAATTAATAGCAACAATAGTATTATTTTCATTTAAAAAAGGCATGCTCCTAATTTAGAGTCCACTGGATTCACTAAATGAAGCAGTGACGTAGTGTCACTGCACAACCATACTTAGGCTTTCAGTACATTAACACTTTTAATGATAACTTCAATAACAATTTAATTGTAATTCCATTTAAAAATTAAAAAAAAAAAAATAATGGGATATGAGGGCATTTTAATGAGTGTAGCAAGTTGAAGAGCTTTATTCCCCTTTCATATTTTTTTGCACACATGTTCTGGGCCTGTATTTCAAATCCCAGACTAAGCTTCTAGAGTGGGCAAGGAGAGAAAAAAAAGATAATACATTGTCTCATGTGTAAATATGTGCT